TTCCATTGATATAGGGAAGCTTATTTTCTTCTCTCTCATGTACATTATTAGGGGTATCACCTCTGTTTACACTCTTCTCTTGTTTATGCTTTGTGGGTTATAGCGGGTGTAAGAGGGGAGAAAACTTAAGAATAATTATTCTCCATTTGTATCCCTTACAAAAAGAAAAATAATTGGCTTTAAGCAAGCTGAGATAGAGGAGGAAGAAGGAGACCTTAGTGAGCCTAGAATGTCTGGGAGGCTTGGTAGCCACAACAGTAGTAGAAGTGCCAGAACTCCTAGAACTCTGGAGGATTAGGTGGTTGAATTAAGAGAAAAAATGTAAGAGGTTATTCACTTTTTTGAGGAATCTAAAGATTGCCAAATTGAGATGAGGATGAGGATGGCCCATAGTATTGACCAACAAAAAAGTATTATAGATACATTACTTACTTTAATGATGCTCTTGTTGGAATGTTTAGAAGTAGCCCTTTATGGAGCATGCTGATAAACTTCAATTTCCATCCTCACCTTCTTATAATCCTTTTATTTGACAACCTGGCGAGAGAGGCCATGATGATGAGGAGTAGGAGGAAGACCCATATTCTGCTAGTTAGGTATATTCCTTTTGGCTTGAGAAGAGAGAGATATTGAATGCTATTTTTATTATCTAGCATATTTTTATTTTTATTTCATTTCTTTGCTTGGGGGGGATCCCAATGATATGTTAGAGTGACAATATTATATTATTATATTAACATGATGATTGGTGGTGGCTATGAGAGCCAGTGTAGTGTGATGGTGCTTGTGGCACTAGTTATCTTATATGTTGTATTACCTTATTTTATATCGCATGTTTTGCACATTTCTATCATTGATATAAAAATATATGTATTTACTAATGTTCAGATGTATTTTTATTTACATTTGATTAAATTTCCCTTATACTTATACCATTATATTATCTTCTATTAAAATCTCTACAATTCGATTATTTATTTAACCCAAATAAAAGTTATAATTAAAAATTATATAAAATTAGGATGATAATAAAATCCTAGATCATAGTTTAAATTGACATCGCTTTATAATTCATAGAATGAAAAAATTAATAATGAATTAAATTAAATCATTTAAATTATTGACTCAACTTGAATTTATAAGTTATACATTTATATATTGACCTTTGAATTGAAGATGAATAATTAAGGTTAAATATTATATATATGGGTTGATTAAAATTGAAATCTATAGCAAGTTGAATTTAGAATTAGTTATCTAATTAAATCCTTACATTAAAATTATTAAGATTGTAAGAAAATTTTAAATAAAAGTGATATTCAAAATCATTAACTATGTATTGCACAAAAATAAAAAGGAAAAGAAACATGAAAAGATTCTAAAAAGAAATGAAAAGAAAAAAAAAGAAAGAAAGAGAATACATTTAAACATTGGTATACGATAAAAGCTTAAAGCTTGACTGCAATCTTATACTTAAATTCATAAGGGATAAGATAAGAGAACTTGTACAAATGATGGTGAACTAATAAAATTTTAATTTTAACGACAAACACATCTAATTTTTAAGCTACATTATTCAATTCAAAATTCAAAAGTAAATGATTATATTCATAACATGTAAATTCAAATTAAGTAATAATAAGGGTGATTGATTAGGATAATTATTAGTATTTTTTTAAACTAGAATTATAAGTTTGATCATTATCACTACTTCTAGACTATGATTTGTTATTCTATATTTTAGTAATTTTAAATTATCAATTTTTTTACCTTGGTTGTTTAATTAATTAGAATTATAATTTTTTTATTTGCTTGATGATAAACAAAAGTTTAAGCCAGGGAGATTTTGATAAGTGTAAATTATGTATTATTTTATGTGCTTTATTTTTAGTAAAATTGTGTTGTTTTAATTACTTTTTGTACAAAAAAATCTCAAAAAAGAAAGAAATTTTAAGAAGCTTACAGCAACGCGACGTTTAACAAAACAAAGCCACTTTCAATATCACCGAGGCGATACAAATTGGACATTGCTGCATAGAGTTCTCTATTTGTAAGCGTTACAGTGGAAACACAACCAACACTGCAGCATTACTAGTGTCACGATGTCGAAAAGTCAGCTTGACAACATTGGATTCTCTGTTTTTAAATGCCGTGACACCTTAATTTCTCATGCCTTAGTGCCATTTTTTACCACTCAGACGCCTCAATGCTCAAATGTCAACAACACCATGATGTTGCAGTTATAACTTCTAAGAGCCACATTCTCTGAGTGAAAAGACGTGACTATTCACTAAGTAATCGATTCACATCAGCAAATACCGCTACGGTGCAAAAGTTTCAGCGTTGGGGAGTTAGTTCACTTTAATGGCGACACGACACCACTCTTTCAAACACTGTAGTGCTAGATGACTTGTTGTGTTGTCCTATAAATAATTTTGATTTTATATTTATAAGAGAGTTCAACCACTTGTATAAAATTCAATATTTTTTTACAGTACTTCTCTAGTTCCTTATTAGAGTAAAATTTATGGGAAATTAGGGAAGTACAATAAACAATCATTTAGAGTATTTAATGAAATGTTAACTCCACTAACCCCTCCCACTAATGCTAGCCGTGGGATTCAAAGGATCAGTCGCTGCATGACTCGATTAGTGGAAAGGCAATGAATGCTATAGTTACATTTAATTACAATTTCAAAAAACATTTTTTTAATGAAATGTTAACTTGCTTAAGGTAAGAAAAATATTATTAACCTTGTAATTTAGGTATACTTCTATATATCAATGTGCTCGAAATTAATAAAAAAATGATTTAATGAAAATATGTTTGTGTTTTATAGATATGATAAAATGAGATAAATTTTGAGGCAAGTTTTGCTTACATTTTTGAATATTTTGAGTATTATAATTTGAGATTAAGTACCTTAAATTAGAATACATTTATATCTTGGATGTTAGAATGAATTTCGTTAAGGACAAATATGGCTTATTATATATATATATATATAGTAGAAGGCCTTTTAAAGAGGAGAATATTTGAGTTGCTTGTAAAACTAAGGCTTCGTTTGGGATGGCTTTCATACTGCTTCTTAAAACAGCTTTTTAGTGTAAACATTTTAATTTTTGAACTAAAAAGCTGTTTTAAGAAGCAATAAAAAAGCCGTCCCAAACGAAGCCTAAGTGCCCAGTTTTACCAACACTATGCTATATCTACCTTATATTCTGTTATGTTATGACAACAATGATATTGCATCCTAGTGTATCAACATTATAATCAACTCTATTAAAGTTGTTTGAACTCATTCAATTGCTTGAATTCTGTTTAATTAGAATCATGTTTGAAGTATGTTTTAACCTTGTTTAAGTATATATCATTCGAGGTGGACTTAATAAAGTATTCCATAGTCAAAAGAGAGAATATTTTGATTTGAAATTTATGTATCCACCTACATACTCAAATTTTTGAGAATTTAATTAAATGTTTTGAATAAAAATTTGTATGAATTTTAATATTTGAAGATGGGTAGTTTTATAAATTGAGTTAATTGGATGGAATAATATAAGTAAAAACAAAAATGTGCTATCTATCTCCCCACGAGAACTTATTATGTGCGGATAATTGAGAAAGATAATCGTTTGATTTTTTCTGTCTATAATAAAAATGTAATAAAAATTCAGTTAAAATACAGTGACAACAGTGATATTGCATCGTAGTGTATCAACATTATAATCAACTCTATTAAAGTTGTTTGAACTAATTAGAATCATGTTTGAAGTATGTTTTAACCTTGTTTAAATATATATCATTCGAGGTGGACTTAATAAAGTATTCCATAGTCAAAAGAGAGAATATTTTGATTTGAAATTTATGTATCCACCTACATAATCAAATTTTTGAGAATTTAATTAAATGTTTTGAATAAAAATTTGTATGAATTTTAATATTTGAAGATGGGTAGTTTTATAAATTGAGTTAATTGGATGGAATAATATAAGTAAAAACAAAAATGTGCTATCTATCTCCCCACGAGAACTTATTATGTGCGGATAATTGAGAAAGATAATCGTTTGATTTTTTCTGTCTATAATAAAAATGTAATAAAAATTCAGTTAAAATACAGCTACTAGAGTAATTATGCTTTGAGAGCAACTAATGATTTGTCATCTCTCCACATCTAATAATAAGGGGAAAAAAAATCATTTTCATAAATTCATAGATAAGGCCGGGCACTTAGTTTTTTTTTTTTTTTAAAGACATTTAGATCAATTAAGTCAAATTTATACACACATCACATACACAAAAATTCAAATTCAAGATCTATTAGTTGGAAGTAGGGCTGCAAACGAACCGAGCCAAGACGAGTATGTGAGTGTTCATGTTTGTGTTCATTTAATATCAGCTTGTTCAAGTTTGGTTCATGTTTGTTCGAGCTTTATTGTTTGTGTTCATGTTTGGTTCATTTAAATTAATGAGTGTTCATGTTCGGTTCATGTTCAGTTCATGATCGTTTGTTTAGTGCTTATCGAGCTTGTTCGCGAACATATTTAGCGATTGTTTTTTAACTATCAAACAAACACGTTCATGAACATATCTATGAATAAACACATTTATAATAAAGAAATAGTCTATGTACCAAAGGCAATGATTATTTATATTTATTAATTATATAGTCAAATATTAATTATTTTTATCGAGCTTATTCACGAGTTCAAAATCGAACACGAATTGAGCTTCTTATCGAGCTTAATGTCGAACAAGTTCACGAACTTCAAATGATGTTTTTCACGAACATAAATGAGCCGAACATATTAGTGTTCAAGTTTGTTTATTTAAGAATCGAGTTTTTAAAATATTGTTCAAGTTTGTTTGTTTAGTTAATTAAACAATCACAAACGAACTTTAATCGAACACAACGAGTAGCTAGTCTAACGTTTGATTCTTGCAGCCCTAGTTGAAAGCCTAAGCTCTCAACCTGTTGGTCAAGATGAGCTGTGTGGGCACCTAGCTTCACAATAAGTTTCTTTTCTCCGTCGCTGCTGCAGGCTTTTCTGCGCCGTCGTTTATTCGATCTTCACTGCCGTCGTCTGCGCCGTTCCCCGTAATCGAATCAAAGCAGACGCGCGATGCTAGGTATTTCATATGGAGAGCTCTTCCTCATAATCGGCGCCACTGCTGCTCTCATCGGTAAATTTAGATGCATTTATCGCTGAATGTTAAAATTTTGACATGAATGTGCCCCCCTTTCACCACTTTTCTTTCTATAATCTGCGAATACCCTTCGTTCCTGCTAAAGTTTATCAGTTTATAATTGAGTTTTGTTCTTGCAATCTTTGAAGGGCCTAAAGACCTCCCCTTCATAGCTAAAGCCGCAGGGAGGCTAGCGGGCAGGGCAGTAGGGTATGTTCAGATGGCTCGAGGGCAATTTGAAAGCGTAATGCAGCAGTCCCAAGTTAATCAGGTATTTGCCATCCTTCTTCGTTTCGGATAAAGTGGGAAATTTGCAATATTATTTTACGACAAAGCTACCTTATTCTATCATTTCCACATGCTTTATGGGTATACTTTGAAGACAGCTGCTCACGGTTGAGAAGATGAATCAGAGAAGGAAAGAAAATGAGGAAGCTGAGAAGGAAAGAAAATGAGGAAGCATAAAATAGATAGTTAGAGGATAACTTGTATTCATTTTAGAGAACAAGCGAAATACAGTATTACAGCCAATAGAGCATGTCTATATATACAAGTGTGAGATTCCTAATATGATTAAGTTGCTAGTGGATGTTGCCAGCTGCCTGTAAACTGCAGCAGTAGTGGGGGGTGAATTCTGAACAGAGAGCTGGTTCCTGCATTGCGAAAATAACATATGGAGGCTTGCTTATCTGATAGTTTATCACGGCCTCTCAAATTAAGTGTCAGGAGATTGGAGAGTTAATTTGCTACGAAGAAGGTGAAATTGAGGCAGAGATAGAGCTTTGGTGAAAATGCCAGTGTGCTGATCTTTGGAGTTAATGTGATGGACAGAGATTTCCTGTGATTGTATCGGTCGCAGATGAAGTGGTAATCAATCTCAACATATTTAGTACGAGCGTGAAAGACGGGTTTGTAGCAAGGGCTATGATAGAAATGTTTTAACAGCGGAGGGAAGTTGCTGAGTTGGGGACAATGTTGAAATCAGCTAGTAGTCGACGAAGCCAAACAATGTCAAAAGCTGCAATTGCGAGGACTCGGTATTAAGCTTCGGTTGATAATTTGGCAACAGTGGGACGCTTCTTTATGCTCCAAGATATTAGAGTGTTGCTGAGGAAGGAGCACTAGCTTGTTGTTGATGTCTTGTCAGAGGGATCCGAGGCTCAATCAAAGTTGGAATAGGAGTGAAGTGTGAGGTTGTCGTCAGTAATTGGTAGGCCAAGGTGGATGGTGCCTTTGATATGGCGAAGGAGACACTTCATTTGCTAAAAATATTTGTTTTAAGGTTTGTGCATAAATTGGCAAAGTTGGTTGGTGGCAAAGGCGATATTGGGGTGAGTGAGAGTAAGATATTGGAGAGAACCTACTATTTGGCGATAAAGAGCTGGGTTTTTAAGGGAATCAGGGCTATTCGGTGATTTGGGGGATTTGAGGGAAATGAAAGAAGACATTTGTTTGTGATCCATGAGGTCGAATTCATTGAGGATCTCATTGGCTTATTGAGTGTGCTATAGAAAGTATGTAGGGGGAGTGGATGTGGTTTGAGGCTGAACCTAGGTTCTTGAGGGAAAATTTTTTATGAAGATCGTTAATGAGGGTGGATATGGTGGAGGGGTTATTCATGTTAGTAGAGTATCGCTATGTACAGTAAAAGAATTATGTGGGTGTTGTTATATCGTCTATGTACAGTAAAAGAATTATGTGGGTGTTGTTGTGGGAGTATATAAGAAGAGATGGATCATAGAGGCTGATTTTGAAGACATGTTGAAGCAAAAATTGGAGAAAGTTGAGAACCATTATTATTATTATTATTATTTTTTTGGGGTGGGCTATTAGAAATTAATATTTATGGTATTAAATTAGGCTTGTTTGAGGTCGTAGAGAGCCTTGTGGAGTTGTAAATCATAGTTGGGATGAAGTGGATCATTGAAACTAGTGGGTTGAGCCATATAGACAATTTCGTGAAGTGCACTGTGGAGTAAGGCTTTGGAAATGTCGAGTTGATGGACTGCCCAATTATGATGGAGAGCCACAATGAGTAGGATGGATTTTGGCAATTGGGTTGAATGTCTCAGAGTAGTCTATTCCCTGTTATTATTTGTATCCTTTAGCTACAAGACGGGCTTTGCAACAGTTTGGTAAGCCAACAGGGTTGAGCTTGAGCATGTAGGTCCACTGTCAACTAAGGATTATTCAATTGAGGCGAGTTGGACAAGGGTCCAAGTGCCCTATCTTTATAGAGTAGAGAATTCTGCCAGTATGGCTTGGCACAATTCAGAGAGTTTGGATGCTTGAGAGTAACAGGTGGGGGTTATGTTGGAGGAAAGTGGGGAATGCAAGGTGAAAATATGGTGTGGTTTAGGATGGTTTGTTTTGAGTCTTATTTCCATTGGGTGAATTTGGGAGCTTGATGAGGGGAAGAGTGGGGTTTTGTTGTAGATTTTGGAGGTGAGATGGTTTTTGTAGATGAGGTGGGGGTAGTGAGGAGGTTAGATGTGGTTGAGGGGAGGTTGGTTGTTAAGGGGAATGAGGATGGGATGAGGAAGTACAGGATATGGATGCTAGTGTAGAGTTGGTGAATGGGTAAGGAATCAGTAATAATGGAGAGAGTGAAGGTGGGGAGATAGTGGTTGGGGGAGGATTCTAGTAAGGAAATGTGGTCTCATGGAAAAGTACATGGCATGAGATATGGATTTTGTCGGAGGTGAGATCGAGACAACGATAGCCTTTGTGGCAATATGAGTATCCAAGAAATATATAGGCACTAGAGCATGGAGTAAGTTTGTTTGGGGTTAGAGGTTTAGGCCAAGGGAAGCAGAGGCAACCAAAAGTTTTGAGAATATCATATTGTGGTGGTTGTTTGTAAAGTAGCTGATAAGGAGATTTGAATTTATTTGGTTTGGAGGGGTGTCTATTTATTAAGTTGCTATGGTGAGGGTTGCAGTCCAGAATTTAAGTGGTAGTTATGAAGCATGGAGGAGGGTTTGGGTAGTTTCAATAAGGTGGTGATGCTTGCGTTCAACAACACTATTCCATTCTGGAGTGCAAGTGAAGTTGAATTAATGAGAGAGTTTTTGGGATAGAAAGGAGGCTAGTTGCTTAGATGTGTATTCACCTCCGCCATTGGATCATAGTGTTCTAATGCGTCTGTTAAATTGATTCTAATGAGAATATTACATATTTTTATTTATTTTGCATAGGAAAAACCCAATAATACTTAGAAAATGATCAACGAGTAGGACATAATAGCAAAAAACATTAATTGAGATTTTAGGGGAAGGCCCCCAGACATTGGTAATAAGAAGCTCTAATGTTTTTGATATATTGATGATATTGGAGACAAAAGATAGTTTTTGAATTTTAGCTACATTACATGAGGAGCATAGTTTAGCATAACAGAGATGTGTGGATGACCCAGGCGAGTGTACCACAGGTGGAGGGAGTTGCTTTGTGATGTGAGAGCGGTGGGTGGCTGGTGTGAGCTCTTTTGGCGAAGAGAGTAGAGGTCGTTAGAGCTATTGCCTTGAAGGAGTACTTAAGAGGTTTGTAGATCCTTGATAACAAAGTAGTGGCATCAAATAACAAAGAACAATTGCTAACCGAAGTTAGTTTATGGATTGAGAGGAGATTGTAAGGGAGGTAACATGAAGAAGGTTTTTTGATAAGAAGGTTATGGTTTGGAGGAGTTGGTAGAAGACCTTGGCCAATATTAATGATTGGGAGATTTGCTTCGTTACCAATGAAATTGTATCGTTCCTGTGGTAGGTAGTTGACTGTTAAATGCTGTTGGGTCGCTGGTGCAGTGTGCAGAAGCTCCACAGTCAATGAACCATTTAGTATTTGAGGGTTGTTGTTGTGTGTATAGGCTTGTGTGTAGAGTGGAGGGAGGTGTTGGGTATTGAAGATTGCAATGGTGCTAGCATGTTGCCATTGCATGCCCAAGTTTGCCACATATTTGACATGTGGGATGAGTGCCAACTGATGTTTTAGTGCTGTGAGCAGGAGAAGGTTGGGTGGGTAGTTGATGGAGGACACGGATGTAGGATGACCTCGGGTATAGTGGGAATTGTGACTTCTTGTTGTTGAGAGAGCGACAATGGGTGTGTCAACATATGCTTGTTTGAGTGTGTCATTGGTGAGATTAATCTCTTTACTGCAAAGAAGAGAGTAGAGATCGTCAAAGCTTATGGGAGTTAATTTGGTGTGAATGGCAGTTTTGAAGGATTGATGGGAGGGTATTAGTCTGTGTAGGATATATAGGATGATGTCTTCAACATCAATATGGGATTTGGCAGCTGTAATGTTACCAATGAGTGATTTTATGTTGGAGAGATATTGGGCCTTGATGAGATGTTATATAGCTCATTTTTGTGCTAGATAGCTCTGGATCTATTAGTAGGTTGGAGACATTTTTCTAAGGTTAGCCAAATGTCATGACAAGAGTGGAGGTTTAGGATGTATGTTAATATGTTTGGGGAGATTGTGGAAAACAAGACAATTGACAGATTTTTGGTCCAGCAAATTCCAGTTGATGAATTCTGGGTTTGGTAGTGTCTCACCAATGGTGGAAGTAATGTGTTTATGCGGGCAGTAGGTGGATCTGATCAGGAAGCCATTATAGTTGTTTGTTGTGAATATTTTGAGGGCCTGAAGTCTCCAGATTGGGTAATTGTCACTTTGAAGTTGGATGTGAACAATATTTTTGAGGTTAGACGTGAGATATTTAAGGGAAGAGGGAATGGGGTTTTCTGTTTTGATGGAGGAGGCGGTTTGTTGAGAGGCAGTGAAGGAGATACGTCTTATATTTGGCATTCTTGGATGTGTGTCCAATAAGCTCGAGTTTGCTCTAATGCTATGAAGATAGCTGCTCACAGTTGAGATGATGAAGCAAATAAGGAAAGAAAATGAATAAGTAGAGAAGAGATGGTAAGAGGATAACTTGTATTCATTTTAGAGAACAAGAGAATTGCAGTATTATATCCAATAAAGTGTGTATAGATATACAAGTGTGAGATTCCTGAGAAGATTAAGTTGCTAGTGGATGTTGCCATCGGCCTGCTGTGTGAACAGCTGTAGTGTGAAGTGAATTCTGAACAGAGAGCTGGTTCCTGCATTGTGAAAATAACATGTGGCGGCTTGTTTATCTGATAGCTTATCATACTTTTCTTATGTTTTTTTTTTCTTTTTTTTTTTTGATACGAATACAAAACTTTTGCTAAAATTTATATGCAATTGTGTGAACTTGTTAGTTAGCATTATGTTATATCGATTTTAAGCCTAGTTAAAACTGGATCTTTATTATATATTATAGAGTTATATTTTATATTTTAGTCCAAAATTTACGAAGTACAGTTGTTTTGCGATGTTTGTTAATTTCCTCACCAATCAATTAATTCTATATTAAATCTGTTGCCTTAAAAATAGAGCCGGTTTCATGAGGATTGATCTCGATTGATTTAATTTTTTTTGATATCGCACTAAACAAAAACAGGAAAATGCACTATGGTTCATGAGATGATGCCTTCTTAGTTACATTTCAAAGCTGTCAAACTATAAAATATGTGACTCTACACCTTTTCTTGTACCTATCAACTCTCTTGAAGTGCATCTTAACATATTTTTTGGAAGGACTACCAAAGAATCATTGGGGATTCAATTATCACTTCTTCATCATCAATCACTTTAGCAAGATAGTCTATTAATTCCGTGCAAAGAGACCATTATAAGAGAAGTAATAAAGTCGTTCTTTCAACATGTATGGAATCAATTTTCAATTTCCCATCTCCATTGTTTCCTATAGGGACAACTGGTTCCTCCGCACTTTTTTGAGATCACTATGAAGCTTAATTAATCTTAAATTTTAAAAGGAGCACCACTTTTCACTTTCAAACTGATGGTTAGATGTAGGTGGTGAACATAACAATAATTCACATGTAATGAGGGTGCAATTCTTTACATTTGAAGTCATAGAACAACCTAATCCCTTCCATCTAACTTTCTTCAACCAAACATACATGAATCGATGATAAAATTTACTTTCAACATGTGCATAGGTTTTCTGCCACAAATTATGTTTGATCTAAAATTTTACATGGATATGTTGAAGGATGGCAACAATGATTCCTCGAAGGCATCTAAAAGATTCATTAAGAGGTGGAGGAGAATCTTGAAGGTTGCAAAGGTTGTAATAAAACAATAAAGCTTGCCATAACAAGCATCACTTCGAACGTACATTCTAAGATGAAGATTTGGTTTGTTTGCACTTAGGGAAGGATCAGTTAGAAGATTAGGGTTAGAAAATCAAGTCAAAATCAATTATAGGACAGTCCTAACACCTTAGAAAATCATCAATAATATGTTCCGTTTAGACCTGCCTTCTTATATAATGATCTACTTTGTTATCAATGTAGAAAATTTGAAGTTATTTGACTCTTTGATACCCCTGATCTGATGGGCCTCCTTTGTTGGTAATTGAAACTTGAACTCTTTAAGTATTAAAATTATTATTCGATAATCGATATACACATTCCAAAGGTTATGTGGATGAACTGAGTTGGTTTAGGACTTCTATTACATAAAATAGATCAATTTACTATTGGAGCAATTTTTTGTTTCACAATTAAGGTTCATAAAGAGCTTCAAGATACAATGGCTCAGTTGGAAGCAATACGGTATGAAATCCGAGGCATATCAGTCATGAATCCTATTCCATTCACAAGAAGATTAGAAGGCGTGGAGCCTCCAGCTAAAAATGGTATTGACTGATCTTTTTTTAATACAAAAATAATAATTATTTTTTTCCTTTTTTATGCTAGTTACTCTTCCCATTATTCAGGTGCAGTTTTTGCTGAGAAATCTGATACAGATCATATGTCAGTGCTAAACAATGCTAAGGTTCTTTGCTGATATTTTATTTTTCTTTATAACATTCACCCTTTTTTTGGGATTTTGTACACATTTCAAACTGATTCTGTGTTGTCAGTTTCCCTCTACAGGATCTGGGTTCCACGGAGACAAATTCATCCAGCATCCATAGTCAAGCTATGGCATATGCGAGGTTAGCTAAAACAACAATCATAAAGTTCAATTCTTCACAAGCAAGCCTGAATAATGAGAACCTCAATGGTCAAGATGGTCTTCCATCTGTGTTACCAATTTCTGCTGAAATTGCAGGGCTTCTGTCAAAACGAAATGGTAAGAGCAATTTTTTGGCTTCTCAATTGATGATTTAATATTGGTTTTGTTTGAAATTGGAGGATGATGAGTGGGGGTTGTGAGGGTGGGGATTGGGGCAAAGCCTGTGAGGAAAGGGTACCATTTATTGGTCTAGGTCTTGAAGGTTATACAAGGGCTACTTAGCTTGCATAATTTTGCATTCTCAGATCTTTTTACTTGCCAAGCAGACTAGTAGGAATTTTGAACCTATTGCTTATGTTAAGGTAACTGAAAATAAGTTGATATCTTTTAAAAATATAATCGTGCCTGTGTAAACAAATATAAGAGATAGAATTGGAAAGAAATAACAGGGAGGATATCCTCGATTAAGTGATATATTACATAATAATGGATATATATATATATATATATATTACTGCAAAGATTGGATAAATATAGTAGTTCCAAAGGCTTAGTAGAAATATCTGGCAGTTGTTATTGGAAACGTATGGAGGGATGATCTTCTTTGATAGAACTATTTCTGATGAATTGACAATCTATTTTGATGTGTATTCTTCTATCATGAAAAACAAGGTTGTTTATAATGTGTATTGTTGTCTGATTATTGCACTTAAGAACCATAGGTTGGGGACAATTACTCAAAATTCTTTTATTAGATTTTTGATCCACATTATTTCATAGGTAGAATGTGCTATAATCTTGTATTTGGTGCCAATGCTATATCTTGTAATAAGAGTGCTTTTTTGCTTCTCTATGAAATAATATTCTTTCTCAAAAAAAAAAAAAAAAAAAATCCTAAAGTGTACGACCAATCTTAAATGGATCCAACATAGCATTAGAAAGCTTCAAATTTTCAAAAGGTTGTGGTATGATTAACTAGTCTTTTTTAGGGAAACTTTTTAATACATCTTAAAAACTTTAAGATAACATCCCTATGTTTCTTCATCGAGTTTTACATATGTGGAGTTAACATACCAAAAACAAAGGAATTATGAGGTCAGATGATAGTTAGGCATAAAAGCTTCCCAATGAAATGGCAATACCAGGAAATATTTTCGAAGTTTTCTTCGTCGCTTATGCATATTTGTAACAAGATGATGTTAGAGTAGAGAATGTATACATGAGAGAAGTTATTTTCTTGAGAGCATGTAGAACGAAGACAATCCCTTGATAGTCTCTTGAAACATGATAATGGAAGCAATCATCATTTGGGACTACTGACATTGATGTGAGAACCACATAGTCATAGGCTTACCACTTTTTATATCTGGTGGTATTCATTGTTTCACAAGCTGGGGAGTCTAGATGATGAAGATTCTCATGAAAGCCATGAGATCCTGAAAAAACTTGAGACTATAGGAGATAGTTGGTATGATCGAGCTTGATAGTAGTACACATATTGGAGGAGGGTTCATTTCATAAAGAGTTGATGAAGTCATCAATGGACATCACAAAGTAAAGACGAGGATAGTGATGAGTTTATCGGATGAGGTTGCACAGAACCAATCAACGAGTGAGATCATTTAGAAAACTCATGCACTTAGAAGCATTAGATAATTATCTTGGTAATTGTTATTGAAGATATTTCACTTGATTGAAGGTTAGTAGCTGTAAATGTTATGTCTTTATTATGCAATATGTTTTTTTAATTGATGACATTTTCCTTGTTATTTCATTCATATTTTTATCGCTTGTGTTTGATCGATATATAGACATCAATATTATGTTAAAAGATATGAAGTTGTTTTCAATACCATAGAAAGCTATCAAAAGCTGGATAGGACTCAACCATCGATCCCCTACCTTCTAACCCACCTTGTCTCTTGCTTTTCTTTTTTGCATGCCTCTTCCCTTTTTTTTTGTAGCAAAAACCAATAAAGCTTTATTAAGAAACTATAAAAGTAAATTACATCCTAATAGCATCCGATTCCTCCTTTAACAAGTTGATAAAAGGAGGGATCTTATTCATAACTACATCATCCCAAATGAAAGAACTAATACAAGCATAGTTAACACAAAGATCAACTAACTTATTACTTTCCCTATTAACACAATTAAAGATAACAAATTGAAAATCCTTAAAAAAAGAAAGATCTCCCAACTTGCTTCCTCCTTTGTCCATCATTTCCTTAATGAAACTGATTACATTCTTATTATCTCCTTCAATGATTAAGCCTTTGTAATCATACATCCAATCCTTTACCACATGCTTGACCCAAAGAATCGCCTGAAGTTCCAGAGAAGCAGAGTCCCAATGGACAAAAGCATTGTCGAATGCCAATAAGAACCTCCCCTGGTGATCTCGAAAAACTCCACCAATCCCAGCCTTGTAGGAGTTAAATAGGGAAGCACCTATATTAACTTTAATCCAATCAGGTGGAGGAGGATGACAACAATTAAATAACCTCAACAGTTGATTAACATCCCCGATACCTGAGTTTAAAAAGCTGAAAGATTTGTAAACTGCAGAAAAACTCATAGCATTTGTTGCAATCATCATAGGGTTGGAAGCTATCCCATCATAAACATACAAATTCCTTGCTTTCCAAGATAAGTAAATTGTGTTGCAAAAGAGATTAACCATCCATTGACTTTGTGTATCCATCCAACTACAACAAGCATCAAGAGAAATGAAATTAGGAACATCGAAACCCCATTTGTTTAAGTATTCCATCACTTCGATTACTTTGTTGCAGCCAGAAACCACTTGATCAATGTCTTCCACCTCCTCACATCCTCTTGGACATTTATCATATCCTTGTAACCTTCTATAACACAAAAACTGATTAGTTGGAATTGCCTTATTAAGAATCCTCCACCAAAAGAATTCCACTATGGGATTAAGTTTTGCATTTCCAACCCAATCCCAAGCTGAATAATCTAAGTAATCATCTCCCATTGCTTCGGATGCTAGAGTAGAAATCATCTTTCCAGAGAATTTATGAATGAGTTCCAACTGATCATCTATACTGTCAGCCGAAAACTAAGTGGATGTGATCAGGTTTATAAGCTCTTCACCAAAGTATTTTTGAAGCTCAATGACATTCCACCCTCCATTGCAAATAAATTTATCAATCGTTTAGATACTACCTCCCATTGGATTGACAAATGTAGGTCATTTATCAATGCTTTTGTCCAATAACCAAATGTCTTTAAAGACTTGAATTGATTTGCCATTTACTATTTTCCATTTGACTATAGGTTTAAGAAACTCACCTCCATTGCATAATAATTTCCAAGCCACCGAACCTCCTTTAGTAGCCCGGTCTTCACTGAAAATTGGTCCATATTTAGGAAATAGAATCTTATGCATAAGCAAATCTGTTTCCTGGCAATACCTCCAAGCCAATTTGGCCCTTAATGGTCCAGATTTTTTTGAACAGGAATTGATTCCTAGACCACCAAATTTTTTCGGCCTACACATGAAATCCCAGCTTACATAATGAAGTCCACCACTTCCGTCCCTTTTATTCCATATGAAGCTTCTACACAACTTATCAACTTCATTCAAGACATACTTTGGAACCAAGGAAAGAGTAGAGTGAAAGGTTGGGAATGAGAGCAAAACCGATTTTACCAAAGTAACTCTACCGACCAAGGAAATGAGTTTGCCGCCCCATACACTCAACATACTCCAAGCTTTGTCTAGAATAAATTGGCAATATGCTCTTACCATTCTTCTTAATCCCACTTTGATACCCAAATAAGAAAATTCCTTGATTTTCTTGAATTCCATGATCCTACATATAGCTTTTCTCTTCCTTCTTCTCACTGATTTTCCAAATAGAATTCTAGATTTTTTTTATGTTCACCTTTTGTCCCGTCCATCCACAAAATTCCATAAGAATGCATTTGACTTCCTTAACCGATTTAATTTTTGCTTCAGAGAAAATGATTATATCATCGACATAAAGTAAATGAGAAACTTTAGGCCCTTTGGGAGAAATGCCAATCCCAATTGAATTACCCTTTTGTAAAAAAAGCATTTGAGAGAAGTTGAGCGCACATAATAAACAAGAAGGGATATAATGAGCAACCTTGACGAAATTCACACTTCAATCCAATTTGAGAAGATCCCATTGATTAACAATGAAAATTTAGGACAATAAATGCAATCCAAAATTAGATTAGCAAACTTCAAAGGAAATCCAAAATAATCCATAACTTTGCCCAATGTATGCCATCCCATTGAGTCATATGCTTGCTCCATATCAATCTTGAATGATACTAAACCTTTTGAAGATTTAGAATGCCTAAACTTGTGGAATATTTCTTGAGCCACCAATATATGATCCGCGAGCGACCTTCCTTTCAAAAAAACCACTTGTTCTTCCCAATGAACTTAGGAATAACAAGCAACAATCTATTTAAAAGCATCTTTGCTACAATCTTATAAACCGAATTGCAAAGACTTATAGGTCTAAAATTAGATGGAGACAAAGGGGTTTTGACCTTAGGGATCAATACTATAATAGTATCTTTTTTCAGTTTCTTTCCTAGAGAGAGAAGCTCCCGTTTTCCTAGAGAGAGAAAAACTTGATTTTTGAATTCCTGTTATCCCGCAAAAAGTTTGCTCCTTCGATGACGGTAGTGGGCCATCGGCCTCCATCCTTCGACCTCGGAGATGGTCGACTCTCTAAGTCATTTGCTGTTAGAATCCTTCCTCGCTCTAATCAAGGTTCGTCTCCTCCAGCTTTCGATTAAGCTAACCTGGTATTTGATCATGTGGCTATGTTAAGGTTTTAAACTAGAAAACCTTTGGTGATTAATGAGGGAGGATTACTTCCTCCTAAAAATTATTTGGAATGTGTTGGCAAAGGAAAGAAGATCCTGATGGAAAATTCGGATGTTCAAAATACATCCAACTTTCAAAGAGATGGTAAGATTGATCTCGCATCATTCGGTGGTGCGATTACGGAAACTGTGTCAAAAGCTAAACAGGGGGCCTTGTTTGGTGGTCTTGAAGCTGATAGAATGGAAATCATGGTCGCTGGTTTTGGAAATCTGAATTCTGCCGT